TGTATATGTTTACCTTTCCGTATAACTAATCAGCAGCTCTACCACCAGGCATTTAAGTAACCAGAACACTCAAGTAACAGGCATAATTTATAATATCAGAATAAAAATGAAAAATTCACAATAAGTAATACCTGAGAAGCACTGTGTACCTCAGTGGGTTAAGTATCTGTGCCTGTGATCAGTGGGTTACTGGTTCAAGCCCCATCCTCAGCGAAATAATCACATTTCTGTTGGGCCCTTAGCCCCCCCCCCCCACAATGGGGTGCCTGTCCCTGCAATCAGATGCCAGACTTCGCTCTCAGCTGTGTATAAATGTGTGTAACATATATATGTCTGTGTCTCAAAGGAGAGCGTGATGGGATACGCAGAAAAAGCATTCCAACGTCCCTCTTCTCATACTTATACAAATTGCAAATAAAGGATCATTTCATTAACACTGTTGTATGAAACACTAAAACAACCAAAAAAAGCATTGCGCAATGTGTATGTCAGTTACTGCATACGCCTGTGGAGAGGCACTCTCCGGTCATCTTCCGCTTGTTCGTCATCGTTTACCTTCTGATGTCTTCTGTTCTATTGAATATCTGACTCCATCCAACAGTGACACTGCAGTGTGTTAAAATAACTGTACAATAATCATTAGTTTGTGTGTGTAAAACGATTCAAGTGTTTTTCAAGAGTAATGTTCAAACATCCAGAAAAGCGTCTCGTTCCCGAATACCTGAGTTTTTACTGTATTTGGAAAGGATCCCATCTGAGTGATGAGAGCCAATCAGAATGGAGGGGGTGAGTGTCTGTCAATGGGGGCCTCATGTCTTTGTGTTCCAGGCTCACTGATCTGGCAGCACCCTGCCTAGTGTCGGGGTGAGAACCCGAAAGTGCTAATAACTTCTGAGTCCCGGCCGTCTCATGGTAAGAAGCAGAGGACTTCACACCGTGCTAATTTTACACCTCTTAATGTTTGCTTGTCTTTATGACAGTGCCATAAAAAGACAAGTTCATCACTCTGGAGTCTCGCTCACGTTGCCCAAGAACATGCTAACACACCCCCGGGTCAGAGCGAAAATTAGCGGGGACGTACTCTCCGTCCAGCTAACAGGGCCAGGAGATGTGTGTCATTCTGCGTGTTTATGTTACGGTTACTTGAAAAAGATGCCTCACGCGGGATGACTGATGTGTCCGATGTTCTGGTCGGGGGGGCGGGGTCTAAAAATGGTTTGTTTAACTCCTACTGGGTGGGCAGCAGTACCTGCTGTAACCTGAATGCTCTCGATGATGCCCCTCACGGTTTCCCGGAACCATAAGGATTCCTCACTGCGTTTGAAGCCCCCTCACCCAAGAACCGTGCTCCACCCCACTCCCGGACACGTCGACCCCCCCTGACCGGAGCGCTCTAATGGACTCAGTGGGCAGAAAAGCTCCTCTGAGTATCTCTGCAGTCTGGGGGCCCATTTGGAATGTCCCTGACCAGTGAAAAGCTGCTTATGCTTTCTATGTGTGTGTGTAGGTGCATGTGTATGCGTGCGTGTAGGTGTATATACGTGCGTGTGTGCGCATGTTTGTGTGTGTGTGCGCATGTTTGTGCATGTGTGTGTGTGCGCATGTTTGTGTGTGTGTGCGCATGTTTGTGCATGTGTGTGTGTGCGTCCACAAACGGTTACAGAAGCAGAGAGTAGCTCTGCAAACTCCAGCTCCAGCTCATATTCATAAACATCACCCTCCGTGCCTCATTCGCACCCTTGGCCTTTTTTAACCTCCCCCCACTCCTTCAGCATCTCCCTTTCTCCCCCAGGGCCCCTCTCTCCTCTTTCCCCATCCCACTGTTTCTCCTCACCTCTTCTCCTTTCCCACTGATGCTCCCCCCCTCCGTATCCCGCACGGTCCGCCCTGCGAGCCCCCCCACCCCCCCTGCGGATGACGGGCATCTGTGTGATGTCACCGTGTCTCCCCATTCTGCCTGCCTCCATTTTGAAGGAGTCTGACTCTCTGAATGGTGCAGCTTTGAGAAGCTCTGACACACAAGGCCCACGATGCACAGTCTGCACAATCCATGCATGACGTGCACACACACGCTATGCACAGTACACGCACACGCACTGCACAATCTTTACACGATACACGCACATGCACTGCACAAATTACATGTGATCTGCTCAGCGGCTCGACAAATAGCCCACCCCGTCCAGCGGCTGCGATCTTCTCACGCACACAGCCAAGTGGCCACGGACGTGCTCCCCTGCCTCCCCCCCCCCCCCCCCCCCCCCCCCCCATCGGGGGGGGTGTGAGGCCCATTTTCCGGTTAGCGGCGCATGTGACATCCCGAGGACAGCTTCCTGGATCGATACTGCGCCGGCAGCCAAACGGGGCCCCTTTATGTGATCCGCTCCCATGTCTCACGGGAGCCGCTCTCAGATGATATCGGATGAGGCTGGGAGCCCGGATGTTCTCAAATGGAAATGGAACGCGTTACTCTCAAGAAAAAGCTACAGGTTTACATAGGAGGTGCAGATGCCCAGAGGGAGGAAACTCCACTGAACGTTAGCTTGCATCATCAATAAGAAGGAAGCTGAGAAGGGCGTTGGTCTGTGTGGAGAAGGTCTACATCAGATCCAGATCCTGACTGCACTCAGCCACCAGAGGCAGGGTGAAACTCAGAGATGTGGGGTCTGGTTACCATTCACCTCACAGCCTGCTCCCCCCCGGGAGGGTCTGTCTGCTCCACTTAATGAGACAGGGAGTCCATGTTGTTTTGGCCACGGGAACTGGAGCATGACCACCTCCATATTTCAGGGTACTGCGGGGTAACGTGACAATAAGCTAATCTGGGGGGGGCGGGGGACCCGGGAGCCAAATCTGGGCAGTCACACCCATCTTGCTGCTACAGAAGGTCTGCCCAAGGACGTCATTCAGCCGCAATAGTCCTGGAAGGAGGCGGAGATGAGGGTGACGTGCTCCGTTCACTGCCGAGCCCCACGCACTCCTCCAGGTGCTTCTCCATTTTGACAACACTAACACTAACATTTTCCTGGAAAATCATCCCATTAAGCATCTCTTGGTGGGTCCTCCCTCATTAAGCTGTCAGTCTGCTCCCACGGTTTTAAAGCGTAACCTGCTTAGGTGCCGTACAAGTCAGCAAGGTAATGAGCTAAATGCCTCTCGATCATCAAATCAAATCGGTTTGACCTCAGAGGCCAAGGCCAATCACAGGGTCTTTTCTTAACATGCCACGGCAGCAATCACTAATCCCAGTGGTCAAAGAAATGATAATTTTATAGACAAAGTACCAATCAGCTAACCTGTGCTCATGTCCAAGATGCACAGTCCTGTCTGCCTCTTTCAGGGAGACGGTGTCAGTGCATCAGTTGGGCCTGATGGAACCTCAGCGGCTGCTCCACTCCGTTACTAATGTCCTTCCATATGGATGATCTGGACTAATTTTGGTTTTTAATAAAAAGACAATCCTAGGGACAGGAGTCGGCCTCAGTGTGCCGCCCATCCATGAAGGTGGGAGGGATGGAGGAACAGAGGGAGAGAGAGAGCGAGCGGGAATGTGAGATGGGCGTAGTGGGCACAGCAGGGAGAGTGACAAATTAAGGGTTTCTGGACTGGGTCCATGAAACAGGGAACTGAGTGCTGGTCCCAAGATGCCCACAGGAGAGGGTCCAAAACCATGTCCTTGAGTCGATATGGGACTGGCAGCCAAGGGCAGCACAGAGTCATCGGTACCTGCCGGCTCAGCCCACACCGAACATGTCTGTGCGCCGAGTTCACATCCTAGAGCTGTAGAGCACACTGGCGTCAAAGACAGCTGCAATCACACTGATCGTGAAGAACAAACCCTGTCAGCAAGTAAAACATCCACGTTTGTGCTCTTTTGAAGAGAAAGTCAGGTCACAAACACCGAAAACCTACAACTGGGACAACATTCATAGGCACTGAAGTAATTTCAAAGTCTGAGGAAACCCACAGTTTTTCTTGACCAGTTTCGTTTCTTTGGTGTAATGGAGTTTGCTGACATTTATTTTAAAAACTCTGTAATATTATGGTATTTTGCCATGGGCCCAGATTTTTTAAATATCTTGTGGGTCTCTAACAAATGGTAATGAAATAAAACATGTTTATCATATTTCTCCATAAATTAAACCGAGTTCAAGACATTCTGTATGCTTAAGTCTTAGGGCCGATTAGTGTTTCAAAAGTGTTCATCTCCAAAATTAATAATAAAAAATGGAACAGGGGAATTTTCCCAACTGTAAAACAATCCATGAAAAAGCCATTTATTTGTGTAAACAAACTAGGAGGGTTGTTTGGAAATTCTGCCCAGTATTTGCGAATGCAGTATTGTATGACAGAATAAATGAGAGAATAACATCATGACCATAATGCAGTTGACCTTGCTTCTCCCAATTCAAATATTGATTTTCCCCGTTTGTTTGCATCTCTTAAAACGCGGCCGGAAACATAACCTTGAGTAACGGTTAATAATTTGCCGGCAACGATGCATGTAAAAAAATAATATTGAAGCAGCCAGTTGATAGTGATGTAGATTTTATCACATGCCTGTCGTGTCACAGTCGCCATCCGTAGGGTATTTTGCGATGCGCTGAAATTACGCAGCAGCCCACGTTCATGTGGCAAATTCCAACTTCAGTCACCGTTAAGTGACCATCCCAGACCGTGTTAGAGGTGACACGGTCCTACTTCAAATAGTAATCAGGTGACTACATATTTTGTGTATTTTGTTTTTCATTTCACATAGCTAGAGCTCCTACGGGAATTAGAATTATGACTAAAGCAAGACTAAATCGGAAAATGTTAAAAACACAAGTTATGTAAATAAGTGTTTTTTTTTCTTTTTTTGCAAAAGCAGTACGAACATTATTGTAGCCTTAAAGTTATCTTATTCATTACACACTCCCTTCTGCCGGATAAGTGGATTTTAACGAATTACCTGGTCGAAAATACCCCCTTTAACACCAGAAAAAGACAAGACTACTTACCAGAAGCGAGCTGCATCCAGCCACAGATCTTATAGACAGTGGCCGTGCTGCAGAAGAAGAAAAGGGCAAAGCAGACGATGCAGGTGATGACCAGAACCATGGACATCCCGATGAAGAAGGACGCGGCCTTGAAGGCGCCCGAAGGGATGGAGCTGAACTCGGTAAAGCTTCCCTGGCATGTCAGCTCCCGGGACAGCCCGTTTCCGATACAGTAATGGAAAAGACCGAAGTAGCCTGCTTGCGGCGTGTCCACGCCGTCACCGATCCAGTAGGGCTGAATAAAGCACACCACATTGACGATGGCAAAAAGGATGGTGAAGATGGCCCATAGGACCCCGATGGCTCGAGAGTTGCGGACATAGTTCGTCTGGTAAATCTTGGCAGCTTCTGAGGCCGGTAGCATGGCTGCGGGAGTCCCAGGGACCATGCCTTAGTTTGAACTGTATTTGTGGCAGAACGCGGGCAGCGCAGAATCACGGTCCGCCCGTCACGGGTTTCGATCGCTGGTCAGCCGCAGATGGAAGCGCACAGACAGCATCTGGAGATGCTGGCCAGGGAAGAGCTCAGTCGGAGCGAGGGTCGGAGATCCAACGCAGGAAAAAAAGACGCAGCCTGTGCACTGATTCAACCGTAAACGCTTCTCCCTTTTGTATTTTCCCCCTACCCGTCTGACATGCTCAGCAGCGCAGTTGAGACATCAGGTGTGACCCGCCTCTCTGCCGTGACACTCGCACCCCAGTCCGCACAGCACGGCGGACGTGATGAACGCATCACCGACAGGGAAACTCGTGGATCCAAGGCGCCCGTTACGTTCTGCACCGGCTTCCCCCAAATGCAAAACCAAAACTGGTGCACCGCTAAAATGACGCGAAACTGTCGCTACGGGATAGTCATGTTCTTTGGCACGGAATCGGCAGGCGCCCCAACACGGCGATCAATCGTCCAAGAAAAATCTGTCTCAGTGTCAGACGCAGTCCCGGGGTTGCTACGGAGATAATGTACAGCTTCCTCTGTCCGCGACGAGGAAGAGGAGAGCGAATGAATAACGGCAAATTAAGTCTGTGTTTTAGGTCATTGCGGGCGGTATGGTCTGCTGTTCAATCTTCCTACATTATACCCATGCGTGTATTTTTTTAATCCCTAAAAATACCTGTATTGCAGGCAGTCAGTCTGTCATTACAGATCTGCCTTACAGTCTCGCTGGATCATCAGATCCTCATTTCCAATTCTGCTTCCACGCGCCTGGCAAATGAGGAAGACTACGGAAATAGTGCCAAGCTTTGATTTATTAAAATTAAGATTTTTAAATTAAAATTCCGCTGAGGTTCTAACCGAAGCGCCGTTGAGGTGCCGGGAGGTGCGGGAACCTCTTTGGTCTGAGTCGCCGGCTTCGCGTCCGAAGCCGTCACTTGTTGTAAAGATGATGTCGGCACTCTTCGGGCGGTGATAATCTGGGGCTGCCTGGGATCCTGTCAGCGAGCAGATCCGACGGCAAGGCGGCCGCTTTTTGTCCGCTTTGTCCCCGTCGGTACGAACCCGTGTGCATATGCGTGTGTCATGCTGCGCGCATCTACTGCTGGCCGAGAGTGACGTCACCTGCACGGTGAAGGGGGGGGATACACCCCTGTGACAGGTGTCAGTCTGCAGGGAGGACGACAGTCTTACCAGAGGCAGCACCACTACAATAATCAATGTAGTCATTTCATTCTGTGGATTATATATCACTTATAATGTGTAGTATTATAAGTTTCTTAGAGTGGAATATTCATTTTATTCAACTATACAAAGGAACCGTTTACACTTAGTAGCAAATGTAGCACGAAATAAGCTTAGAATATAGCAATATGTATGCAATATTTAAGAAATACATCCATTTCATATAGTGCAGTTTTTGACAATCAAGTCTAAGTACACGGTAATTACCAAAATTATGTTCGCATCAACGGCCGAGCCAGAAATCATAGCGTAGGTGGGCCGGCAAAAAAGACAGATACAGGCCAGTCCCATAACAATTCACTTGGCGAAAAAATCATGCCATAGACTCAACTAAATACTTGTTTTTCAGTTTTTAAATGCCCGTGGCATTACTAAGACCAAATAAACAAAAAGAAAGAAAAATGCGTCCGCATCTCGCTCTCACTTCTCCCCGCACACACACGCTTGTCAGACACTCAGTGCGGCGCTCGCTGTAAGCGCTGAACGGACGGGGCTGGGCTCCATCTGGGCGCCGCCGCCGCAGGTTAACATATTCTGGGAAGAAAGATTAGAAGGCTGGTAGTCGTTATAATCTTCCTGGTATTACTTTTCTTGATTTAGTCCCAATATAAATTGCAAAACTTAGGACCGATACTTCTGTCATCTGCCTATCCATCAATCCACCCATTTCTCAAACAAAACGTAATTAGGGCCTATTTTATCTAGCATTGCAGCCAGGGGCGTAGCTAGAAATTATGGGTCCTTTAGTAAAATGTCACCTAGGACCTCTTCGGTAGGTTTTGTCCAACGGGGGTCTCGGTAGATTTTACCCTAATTACGTAGAAACACACACAATGAGACTGTAACAGAAATAAAGACCAGTAAAGCATTTGTGTTTTTTAACTTGTTGGTTTAATTTTCAGTTTAACTTTAATTTTGGGTCCCCTCCAGCCCAGAGCCTCTGGTGACGAAGCTGATTGCAGCTAATAAAGTAGAACATAAAGAGGTCCCGTACCTTGAGAAGAGTTATGACGTACTGGATAAATATTTTATATTAGTGGGCTTTTGGCCAACTGAATATTTTTGAATTTTAATTAAAAGCTAAGCCATTTCAAACTTTTGCTTCTGGATTTTATCGAAACGGAATCAATCGTGTTTTAAGATGGGTAATTTTAAGAATAACGCAAAAACCTTATTTTATATAACGCTACAGCAAATGAAAACTTTTTTTGCCTATGGCCAGTGAAGGTTTTGGTAAAGACTTCAGCTCCCATAATTCATTAATAGAATCGAGTTGCGATAGGTCAAAAAGTAGGAAGTAGTTGTAGACTCGGCAGAGGAAGACTGTTGTGATTCGCCAGAACGTAGGAAGTAGATGGTTATGATGGTATTAAGGCGCGCGAAATCGACAAGGATCGCTCTCGTGCGCTGAATAAAAGTAGGTGTTATATTTTGTCTTCCAGTGAAACATAAGCATTTAAAATAAAGTTATCAAACTCACTTATGCTCGAAACACTATACAGTAGTATTCAGCATTGTTGTCGGCGTGTAACTATGTTAGCGTCAGACTAAGTTACACAAAATATAAGCTGTGTGAAAGTTATGAAATGTATGCTTGTCGTGTTGTTCCTCTATGATATGGTTATGTTGCATGGGAATTTAGTCCTTGAACCAATATCTCACGGAAAATGTTGCATATTTAACGTTTTACCTGTAATCCCAGCGCGTGAAGGGGGTACTGGTACATGCTCGCATCCTTTCGCTGCGTTTTTGGGGGGGCTGTAAAACTTGGCATTTTACCTCAGGATGCCCGCGGAGCTTCGGCAGCAGGGGTACTCGGAGGCGCAGCTGCGTCTGGTGTCGGAGAAGGTGCCTTGCAGAGAAGCACAGGCTGCCGCGCTGCTTGCCCTCTTCGGAGAGGTGAGCTCTTTCCCGATCGGTCGCAATATCACCGCAGACGGCGCTGCATGAATGACTGGCCTTGTACAGCAACATAAATTAAACGATAAGGTAATTTCGCGCACGTTTTCACCCATCCCTCTGTTTTCATTAACGGCATGCCCAGTCAGGGTCTCCGTCATGTGGCGCCTGTCCCGGTGGGAGCACCTGCCGTGTCCGTCCAACACGGGTCACACGCTACGATGTGTCGCACAAATACTGTGCTAAAATATACGGAGATCTTGGCATCCGCCGATGGCTTGGTATTCTCGTAGTAAAAAAAAAAAATCTCTTTCCTTGCAGCCGGATCATTATAGCTTCCCGTCTATCTTTATCTATGGTCACCGAGCCATGGGGAAGAGTCACGTGACACTCACCCTGCTGAGGGAGCTGCAGGTGAGAGATGCGCTTGAGCTCCAGACGCCCTGGCGGCTTCTGAAAGCGCTGCTAAACTTGGAAGGTGACATTTTTAAAAGTATGACACTTGCAAGTGTCTGGCTTATTTGAGGGGTGTTACTGTGTCAAATATATGTGTTGAAAATATGGAGAAGAAGCCCCACCTGCTTCCTTAAGCCTGTTTTTTTGGTTTCTCTGCTTCCCCTCTGTCCCCCGCGCAGATGCCCCATGTGGTGGTGAGCTGCGTCGAGTGCGTGTCTCCAGGCCTGCTCTTCGAGCAGGTGCTGGGCTCCCTCTTCGACTCATCGGCCGTGACCCTGTCCCGCAGCCCCTCCCTGTCCGATTTCGTGCGCCTGTACCGACAGCTGTGCGCGGAGGATTCAGCCAAGCACACGCGATACATCGTGAGTGTGCGCAAACCCACCCCCGCAGTCTCCCTTTCAGGCCCAGCTTTCAGATTTGTGGCTGTTTCGCACGACAGCCGTGCGGTTTTCATGGGAACCACATTATGGCCGTGACTGGGGTCCGGCTTCTGCACTCTTCCGGCGAGGTGCTCTTTCAGTGCACATGCGTCATACTCCCTTAGGTTTGCTTTATTTGGTACTGAAATTGGAGTATTTAAGCAAGATGCAGGGGCGGCATGATGGAGCTGTGGGTTAGTGCAGACCAGGGTTTGTTTCCCTGCCTGAGCTTTCTGTTTGCATGTTCTCCACGTGTTTCGGGATTTTGTCTGTGTTCTGTGTTATCCCCTACAGTCCAAAGACATGCTATAGGTAGATTGGAGTTGCCAAATTGCTCATTGGTGTGAATGTGGCTGCCTTCACACTGCAGGTCTTAATGCTCAATTCTGATTTTCTGCTCAGATCGGATTTTTTGTTTGCCTGTTCACATTACTCTTTTTAATGTGGGTAATATCAGATTTCAATGTGAACGGTTCACTATACTGAACTGGCCCGCATGCGCACAAAACAACAAAGACGCAATGATACGCAAAAACAAAGACGTCACTTTATTGATTCGAAAACTGCCCAGTTACGATATGAACCTTCCAGTTTTGCCTGAACAGATTTATCTCCCCAAATACGTATTAAATCCAGCACCTCGCTGTCCCTCCACTGGCCAGCTTCTGTGCTCTCCTCCATGTTTGGCACTCTGACGGGGACATATGGTGACTTCTGCCTGCGCAGAATTGTGACGAACGTCGATCGAGAGTGACGTAAAAGTCGCACGAATTCCGATTTCGCTGCTCAGACTGAGGTCGCATTGCAAAAAATCAGACCAGTATCCAATTTATAACCACATACTGAAGTGGCCCAAATAGGAACTGAAAAAATCGGATTCCATGTGACTTGTGCTGTTCACATTGTCATGAAAAAATGTGATCTGAGTCACATATGAGCAAAAAATGGGATTTGGGCCACATTTATCCTGCAGTGTGAACGTAGCCTGGCTGCCCATCGGTTGGCGCCCCAACCAAGGTTATTCTCTGCCTTGAACCCTAGTTTTTTGATGAACCCCTATTTCTGTTGTGAAATATAACCACGTGTTTCTGAGATCAGGTCTTGGACCGGGCGGAGGTCTTGCGGGACATGAGCGCCAATCTTCTACCTGGCTTTCTGCGCTTACAGGAACTGGTAAGAACCACTGGACCCCCCTCACTGTGTATGTAAATGGGGGGGGGGGGGATGCAGGCAGGTTTTGATGGAGCCTTGAAATGTTATCCGATTGTCCTGGGCCGTTTCCGGGCCAGCACTGGCCTTGGCCGACAGCATCCCAAAGACCCTTTGCTATATCGTCAGAATTGGTATGTGAGGCTGACGCCTTTTAGCACATTAAAAACGGGGCTAAATTTATCTCTCTGCTCTCCGGCTCTGCCAACTCTCTCCTCTTCAGCGACATGCCGTTCAGCCGCTCAGCGATGATGACTAATGATCACTTTTTAATTCAATTACAGTAATTAACTCAAAATACCACAGCAGCACGCTGATCTGCTCTGCTGTCCAAGGGCAGGTAAGCCACGGCTTGGAGGAGAGACAAATATGTAACTGTAGCCCTCCTCTCCTGTAAAAGCCATCATCTGGGATTGATAATACCCCCCCCAGTGTGGGAGCCCTAGAGAATGGCAGTGATCATGGAGTGTGCAGTCTTTATTATTTTTAATACCTGTGGTTTCGAGAGCTGCCCGGAAATGCAGTTATGTAAGTTTCCCATTTGATCGGCGACGCTGCTCATGTGAATCTCGGCGGCTGCTCTGATATATTTTTAATGGGCCGCCTGCATTAAAATTCTGCTGGTGTATGGAGCCGAGTGCAGGAATATCATTACTGTGGTGTGTGAAGGTATTCGGAGTTCCGATGTGTGAAGCGGTGCGCGCGTGTGTGTACGTGTGCGTGTGTTTTCTCCTTTATTAGCAAAAAACCCACAAGACTCCTCTGACATGTGTCAAACGTCTAGATTTGTGAAGAACGAGACAAGGGGAGTCTGCCCCATAACAAAGTGTCAGTTGTGGGGGGGTGGGTGAAGCCTTTCCCTGGATGAGCAGTAGGAATGTTATGTTTAGATTCCTTAAAGTCAGCAGTAGATAAAGCCAACAGTGAGCTACAGACACTCGGGCGGAGCTGGCCGAGGTGTGTTAGAATGATGGATGTGTGTCGCCCCCTGCAGGTGGAGGATAACGTGACCGTGATCCTGCTCAGCGAGATTGTGTGGGACAAGTTCAGGCCCAGCACTGGCTGCTTTGAGCCCCTGCAGCTGCACTTCCCTGATTACAGTAAAGGTGTGTGTAGGAGGGGGCACCTTTGCCCCCCCCCAGCTTTACCTTGTACCCCTGCTTCAGGCCCCATCTGACGTACTTTATACCATGGTAATCATCATCATCATCATCATTTTGTTGACGGGCCCCAGTCCATCCTTGGGGCTCCTCCTTCAAACCAAGGCGAACTTGATAGATCTGCTTCATCCCAGCTTGTCTCGATGCATGGGGGCGTCTGCTCTGCCAGACGGATGCTGCTGGTTTTCTTGGACGCCCTCGGCCTTCCCGCCATGGTCTAGCCTGTTGCCGTGGCAGCGGCATTCCTGTTTCCTAGTAGAGTGCGTTTTGCTTGTCTCCCACTGGGGTCCTGTGCTCAGGCCTCATACCGGCCTGGGAGGGTAGCCACAGGGCCCGGTGCTGTGTTCCGCATCTCGATGAACGCCTGCATTGCCATGTTTGGCTGCCGTGTGTTGCCGTGGTAACCGAGCATCTCCCTCCACATCCCCCCCCCCTCAGCGGAGCTGCAGCAGATCCTGGCCCAGGACAGCCACCCCAGCTACTCCGCAGAGCTTTACACCTTCTACATCAACATCCTGCTGGGGGTCTTCTACTCGGTCTGCAAGGACCTGAGGGAGCTCCGGCACCTGGTGAGCGAGCCGTTTATACACACACACGAGCTGTGAGTGCAGAGTTATCTTTTCAGTGCCAGCTAATGCATTCACGATGGAGCGTGGGGGAGGTACTGTGTGGCTAGGTGTGTGGGGTTAGGGTTAGGGTTAGGTGTCTGTGCCTGTCATTACAAGGTTCAAATCCCTTGGTCTTTAGATGGGTTTATGGGCCCCTGAGTGAAGCACCTCCAGTTGCTACAGGGACTGTCTGATCCGACTTTCCCAATTGTGCGTCGCTTAGTATAAGTCAGTTTTGGACATCAAGCTGCCTACAAAGGAGAGTGATAGCGTGTGTTGTATCACATGACCTGGCCACCTGACCTAAACACAGTAAAGATGGTTCGGGAGGAGTTTGACCAGAGTGAAAGAAAAGTGGCAGCTGAGTGCTCAGCATGTGGGACCTCCTTCGGAACAGCTGGAAGAGCATCCCAGAAGGTCACCTCATGAGACTGGACTAGAGGAGACAGTAGGGTCAGCCAGTCCCTGGAGCAGCTGGGGTTAAGGGCCTTGCTCAAGGGCCCAATGGTGAGATCGCTCTGCCAATCCAGGGATTTGAACTGCCAAACCCACAAATATTTTTTTTTGTTTAAGACTTTTTTTTTGGTCAGTGAATAATCCCATATGCTATTTTATAGTTCTGATGTCTTTATTCTAAAACATGAAAAATGGAACATATAAACCTTTCTATGGGTAGGTGTGTCCAGACCTTTGACTGGTATTGTAATTCTAAAAACATCAGTGTATTTTGTGGTAAAATGACCTGTCACTGAGTCTGTAAGGTGACCCATCCACTAGTCTGGCAGCGTCACTGACCTGTGCTTGGGGTTTCTGACCCTCTCCCCCGTCTGCACGAGACTGTCTTATGGGCCATTAACGAAAGATGAGCTTTGGTCTCTTCCTGACTGAAACTGGCACCCTCTTCTTGTCCCATGTAGCTCAGATTCCATCCTTCTGTGTCTGTTTTTTCACTGCAATTTGTCTCTTTCCCCTCAAACAGGCAGCGCTCAACTTTCCAAAGTTCTGTGAGCCTCTGGAGAAAGGAGAAGGTGAGGAGAAGCGACCCAGCAACGGGAAACGCGTGCCATGTCAGCCAAACGTTAGCGGCCCCTAGGGAAACGCGTGCCATGTCAGCCAAACGTTAGCGGCCCCTAGGGAAACGCGTGCCATGTCAGCCACACGTTAGCGGTCCCTAGGGAAACGCGTGCCATGTCAGCCACACGTTAGCGGCCCCTAGGGAAACGCGTGCCATGTCAGCCACACGTTAGCGGCCCCTAGGGAAACGCGTGCCATGTCAGCCACACGTTAGCGGCCCCTAGGGAAAGGCGTGCTCCGTATTAGCTTGGGTTCTTCTGCACCCTGTGACTCCTCCCCCCCGCCCCCCCACCATTTTTGGCCTTCTTACTTTCCTATTCTCGGTCCGACTGACTCCGAGTGGTGTGCTGTTGGGCCCCCGAAGGACTTTCGGGCAAAGCCTTGGGGTCAGAAGCAGACCAATCTGGCTGATTGTTCAGGTTATGTTTGTTCACATTCTTCAGCGGAGGAGAGTGACACCCACAAGCTATGGAGAAACATCGAGCCGCATTTGAAGAAGGCCATGCAGACCGTGTACTTAAGGGAGGTGTCCAGGTGGGGGCACTCCTGAGTCTTGGTGCGTATGCGTGGACGCGCCTGCCCAAGTGCCTGGCCTGACTGCTCCGATGTCCCTCCAGCTTTCAGTGGGAGGAGCAGCTGAAGCAGGATGGTGAAACGCAGAGCCTGAGAGGTATGTGGGTGTCCCGCCTGGTGCACGCAGGTGTCCGGCGTCCCTGTGGGATACAGGAGGTGCGACTGCACCCCTTACCGGTCAGAGGGAAATGCTAATTGAACATATTAAGTTAAATAAAATTAAATTACATTGTAAAATTATATTTGAAAACGTGGCACTCATTATGAAGGGTGTTTTATGACAATATTCAGTAAATGAATGTCATTCAGATGATTATTTAAATAATAATTTCAAATTGCTATATTAATAATTATTTAAATTACAATTTAAATACCAGCAACCATTATCTGTCAGTCACCCATCAAACTCAGTGGGCTCTAAGCAGAACTAACATCCATGCGGCTGCTCTTTGATTGCTCCACGGAGCCCCGCTCATGACACAATGATAAAAACGCAGAATATTGTGGCCACATTATAATATATCGTGGGAATGAATTAGTCGCCCCCCTCTATCCGCAGTTTCAGTTTTCCAGGATTTACCTTGCTCCAAAAAACCAAACGATAAATGAGTAACGGTGTGATTTTTCATAGTTCCCTCATCCTTTGATGGCTAAATAAAAGCTTGATTTTCATTGCTCAGTCATCCCTTCATCCCTTCATCCCTCCTGCATGATATTTTTTCATTGCTGCATCATCTCTTAGAATTAGGCTAAACATCAGAATCCCGTCCAATAATGTACAGTGTACTCTATTGTAGTTAATGTTGGTAATACCTTACTCTGAGACTTGTGTCAAACTTTACTATATGCATGTACATGAAATTCATGCTGAATATGGGTTCCGTTCGATTGTTTCGGACTCGGGGGGGCTCCTGTATTAAAACGAGGCCACAATGTGCGTGATTTTTATTGCTATGTCATTATTGGGGCTGTGTAGTTGTCCCAAAGTTAGGAGATTTCGGGAGAGTTAGGGAGCTTGTGTAATGCACGTTTTCTGTCTTAGTATAGGAAGTACAGCTTAGGAAATGCTCATCTGTAATGACTTTTTCCTAAATCAGGTTCTGTCCCTAGTTACCAGGATCTGCAAGTTTTTGCAATGCAGTCCCAGGTTAGAACCGACAAAATGTGGTTATAAATGAGAATTCAATCGACTAGGTGAGATCGATCTGTTGTAACTTAGTTTGCAATGTAAAAAATAAGATGTTATGTTTTGTTTAGAGCCCGCCCACTGAATTTGATGGGTGACTGACAGATAATTATAATGGCTGCAGGTATCATTTAAATGGTCATTGAAACCATTGTGTAAATAACAATTGAAAATGTCATTTAAATGGTTATTTAAATTATAATTTAAACATTTAAATGTTTATAAATTGAAATGACAATTTAATTTCCATAATCATTTAAATGACATTCATTTATTGAATATTGTAAATTAAAAATAAAGAAACACTCTTCATAAGTCATGTCAATAATGTATTATAAATGCTTTTACTGTCCATTTAAAAATGTGCTTTTCTGATTGAATGACTGGTTGAGCTCCGTCATCCTGCACATCCTGGGAGAAAAAACCAGAGCTGCCTGTGTCATGGGAGACCAGCCTGTCCT